CCATTGGGAGATACTACTTCTCCGTATCAGGTATAATTCTCTCCTACTCCTTTTGGTTCAGATCTGGTTCAGTTTAAGGTTCAAGAATGATCCTTGAAAATATGATTTTCTAAATAGGGAATGTGATTCCCAGTTGAAGGGAGAGAAAAATTTTTGAAATTCGCCCCTTATTCCGCAATCTTTAGGCGTCCATGGGATGGATCTCTCATCCCTTCAGTGTTAAATACATGAAGGAACACTTCAACAAGAGAAAAATTATGCATTTCCTAATGCACCTAAGGCCAGAATTTGAAGTCATCCGTTCTAATATCCTAAGCCAAGGAACACTTCCTGACTTAAATACTATTCTTGGGGAGATTTTGAGGGCAGAAACTAGATTGACTACACAAACTGCACTGGATGGAAGGAAGGATTCCAACATTGATGCTGTCTTCTTGGCAACTAAACCAAAGGGGAAGAAGGATTTTTCTAAGATACAGTGTTATGAATGCAAGGAGTATGGGCATGTTGTCTCCCATTGTAAGAAGAAAAACACATGCACCTATTGCAAGCAGGTCGGCCACATCATCACTGAATGTCCTACCCGGCCGCAGAAAGGTAGTGGTCCAAATCAGAAGAAAGGGAACTACAAGGCCTATTAGATTGTTGTAGATGGTTCAGATGCCTCCTCCTCTATCACTTCTGTAGCTGGACAAAATGACACCTCCAGCGGTATGTTTGAAGAAAGGATTCGACAGCTCATGTCCTCGGTCATCTCCTCAGCGTTTTCTGTTATCGGTTTGTCTGGTAAATCACCGACCTATTGCCCTTCACCAAACCACCTCTGGTATATAGACTCGGGAGCCTCTAACCACATGACAGGGGCTACTCTTGGCCAGTATCCCAAACCCCATCTTCCCAATAGACATATTATTACTGTAAACGGTGAGAAACTTGACATACTTGGTTGTGATGATTTGTACTTATCTACCTCTAAATCATCTTTGTTTCATTTATCCAAAACTCTATTTATACCTAAACTCACCACCAATTTGATTTCTGTTGGCCAACTTGTAGAGGAAGGTAATAATGTCTCACTTACTTCTGATGGTTGCTTGATACAAGACTGGCAAACTGGGGAGGTGAAGGGGAAGAGGCGTAGATTGGGAAGACTCTTTGCCTTGGAGTTTCAGAAGAATAAGGCTGATTCTGCTTCTACTTCTTGTTTGCTTTCTACTACTTCTAGTTTTGAATCTTTTAATTGTAATAATGATTGGAATTTGTGGCATATATACCTTGGCCATCCTTTTTCTAAGAAACTTGTTCAGTTATTTGCTTCTGGTAGTTTACCTATTTCTGCTATTTCTTTTAAGAATGTGAATAAAGATTGCATTACTCGTGGTTTATGTAAGAGCCATTTTACCCTTTCCTTCTTATTCCGAGCATGCAACCGTTCCCTTTCATTTAATACATAGTGATGTCTGGTCGTCTCCAGTTGTTTCACGGCTGGGATATAAGTATTTTGTAAACTTCATTGATGACTGCACTCGTTTTACTTGGGCTTATTTTCTTCGAAAGAAATCTGAAGTGTACACTATTTTTAAACACTATCACGCTTATATAATTACTCAATTTGATGCTCGAGTCTATGTGCTAAGATCGGATTCAAGGGAAGAGTATATTGATGGGGATTTTTAGAACTACTTGAAACATGGAATTCAACCCCAAAAATCTTGTTAGGGCACCCCACAACAAAACGGGGTAGCATAAAGGAAGAATGGGCACATCTTGAGTGTAGTCTATTCTGTGAAACTGAAATCTAATGGGAGCCTAGACAGATATAAAGCTAGACTTGTTGCACAGGGATACAAACAAGAATATGGGATAGACTATGAGGAGACCTTTGCTCTTGTAGCTAAAATGACTACTGTACGTCTTCTGATGGCCATATCTGCAGCCCAGTGTATTAAAAGGAGTGGGAGGCATACGCCTATAGACGCGCCTCCAGGCGAGGCGTTCCTAAAACGCCCTGAGGCATATGCCAGAGGCGCTGACACCTCTCCTCTTGCGCTTTTTTCATGAGGCGTGCTGGAGGTGTACGCCTCATGCACATCTGATATACAAAGACAGAAAAAAAAGAAAAAAGAAAAAAAAAAGGAAAGGAAAGGAAAAGAAAGGGAAGGGAAAGAAAAAGAAAGGAAAGGGAAGGGAAGAAAAGATAAGGGGAAAGAAAATGGTTTGCCCCTTTCCCCTTGGCTGAGGGGGCTTTGCCCCCCAGACCCCCCGCCCCCTTTTTGGTGCAGCCCAATTTGTTTTCTTTTGAGTTAGGGGGGTCTTGCTCCGCTTCGGCGAGCGAGTGAAGCAAACTCACCTCCGCTTCGACAAGACCCCCCGTTTGAACTAATGTTATGCATCTTTATTCTTCTTAATATAAAAGACTTTTATTAAAAATAAAGAAAAAATGAGATCCCCCCTTCCTCTTCATCCTCCTCCTAACCCCCTCCTCTTAAGGAGGCTTACGCCTCTTGCGTTCTGAACTTCGCCTCATGCCACTAGGTAGTGGAATGCCTCGCGTCATGCCTCCGCGTTTTAAAACATTGCTGCAGCCAAACAGTGGGCAATCCATCAGATGGATGTCAAGAATGCTTTTCTTCATGGGGAGTTAAAAGAGATAGTCTATATGAAGCCCCCTCCAGGATACTATATAGATCTGCAACTTGTTTGTCGTCTGAAGAAGTCACTCTATGGCCTAAAGCAAGCCCCTAGGGCATGGTTTGAAAAGTTCAGATCCGTCATCACTGATGCTGGCTTTACCTAGAGTCCTTCCGATTATTCCTTATTCATCTTAAGGAGGAAGCAGGGAGTAACAATGTCACTCCTCTATGTTGATGATATACTCATTACAGGGAATGATACAGAAGGAATTTCTAGGCTACAATAGTTACTCAGTGAATCCTTCAAGATGAAGGACTTGGGGCCTTTGACATATTTCTTGGGCCTTGAAGTGAGCAGAAATTCTCGAGGGTACTTTGTTAATCAACAAAAGTATGCGATTGACCTGGTTAAACTGGAAAATCTTAGTGACTCTAAGATTATGGCCACTAGAAATGAACCTGAAACTCAACAAAGATGATGGGTCTCCCCTTGAAGACCCTACCTTTTATCGTCAGCTAGTGGGAAGTTTAATCTATCTCACCATGACTCGGCCAAACATATCTTATGCAGTTCAGATAGTAAGTTTGTTTGTTTCTTCTCCGAGACAACCACATTTATCTGCAGTTCATCGGATTATAAGATATGTGCGAGGCGCACTGTCACATGGGATATTCTTCTCCTCATCATCTCCCATTCATCTTATGGCCTATGCAAATGCTGATTGGGTCGGATGCCCTGACACCCGACGGTCCACTACTGGCTGGTGTGTCTTCCTAGGCAACTTCCTTATCTCCTGAAAGTGTAAGAAACAAGCTATTGTGCCCAAATCTTCCACTGAAGCTGAATACAGGGCCATGTCTTCCGTTTGTAGTGAGATCATATGGCTTCAGGCTCTTCTATTTGAAATACTAAATGAGCCATCATTGTCTGTTCCTCTTTATGCAGACAATACCAGTGCAATAAAAATTGCATCCAACCCCGTCTTCCATGAGCGCACCAAACACAGAAGTTGATTGCCACTTCATTCATGATCTCCTTCTTGAGGGTACCATATCTCTTCCTCATGTCTCTTCCGAGCTTCAACTAGCAGACTTGTTGACTAAAGCAATGACACGAGCTCGACATCTATTTCTCATGGACAAACTAATGCTTATTCCTAGGCATCAATTTGAGGGGGAGTGTAGAGACGGTGAAATCTAGTTGTAGGGCTATTTTTGTACTTTTACTTTTCTTTGTTGCATATCTAGGGCCCGTTTGGCAAGTCTTTTTGAGAAGATCTTCTCGTAGCTCTGACAGTCAATAGACGCATTGAGCTTTTGACATAAGATTTGGGCAGCCTGAAAACCGTTTGGCAGATGCGCATCTTCCGTGCGTCGTTTCGGGTCTTTCCGCACGAGATTAAAATGCGGAAGACGCGGGAAGCTTCATTTGGAGCTTCCTGAAATCAGCCCAAAATGGGCTTCCCGCGTCTTTTCGGTGCCCCGTCTTTTGGCGGCGAGATCTTCCGCGTGCCAAATGGGAATAGACCGATTTTCGGTCTTCCCAGCTTATAAGCAGCCGAAAGATCGCGCAGAAAGAAGCGCCAAACGGGGCCCTATTCTTTGTATTATCTCTCTCCTGTACATTAAGGGCAGATCTGTCCTTTTACAACTTAATATAAATATATCTTTTAGGGTGTCGAATGATACAGTGTGTCAGACCCACCATTAAGCTATTCTCTCTCTATTTGTCTCTCTCTTTCTCTGACTTTCGAACTGACTCTAACATCAGCTTTGAGAAGTTTTCTTCATATCAAGTTTAAACTTGCCTGTGCTTTGAGCTGTAAATTTTTCATCATTCCACTGCAATATATTTTTCATTTTTGTGGCCAAAAAATGAGCTTTTAAATAGTATTGATAATAACCAAAAAACAAGAAACTTTATAGGGGTTAGGATACTCCCTATGGAATGATTTCCTTGGAGTAAAGACAATGGGGAAGAAGCCTTCTGAATGTTTGGATTCTACAGAATTTAAAGGAAGTAGAAAACTTACAAATGATGTGGTTGGTCTTACTTTGGGTAGTTTCACCATTAGGTATCACAAATGCAACTTCACTTCTTTGTTATTAGACCTGTTCATGGGTTGGGTAGCCCGATGGCTTGGCCCGGCCAATTATAACTTATAAGTTGGGCTTGGTCATAATTTTAGGCCTGCGGTCGGGCTCGGGCCTAAAGCACTAGGCCTGACTTTGTTTTCGGGCCAGGCTCAGGTTTTCTCAAAAAAGCCCAGCTCGAGCTCGAGCCTGAAATAAAATTATATATTAAATAATAAAAAATATATATACAATATTTTGTTTCTTTGTTCTTCTCTTTTTTTTCAAGTAATAGTGAGATGCTTATTATTTTTGAGTTTTGAAGGTTTTTAATATAAATAAAACATTTTTTTATTTTATAACAAAAGAAAAAAATTTTGTTTTCAAAATTCTGGCCACGCTCGGGCTTGGGCTCGGGCTTCGGGATTTATATGAGGGTCAGGCTCGGGCTCAAGACCTAGGCCCGATGGTCGGGCCGGGCTCGGGCTTGGGCCCGAATGTATTCTGTTGATACATAGACAAAGCCCGGCCCGGCCCGGCCCATGAACAGGTCTATTTGTTATCATAAATTGAACTACAGTAGCACAACATTCCATGAGCTTTTAAAAAGTGGAGATTTGAATTTTCTAATTTCATATTCAAGTAATGTTGCAAAATATAGAATCTAAACTAGCTCATAGAAAGGTACAGCACAGTGCAATATCCATTATACAACCACACAACAAACTGAATTATAACGTGTGAATTTAATGCATAAATTCAACAAAAAGAAATATCATAGATAGATGACAACAGGAAAGAATCAAAACTGAATAAGGTTTTCCGTCATTTATACAAATGTATTTCTCTAAAAGTAATACCATAGTTATTTTCTACCAACATAACTATGAAATGAATTATACCAGTCCATATGCTTGAGGTGATGCCACTTCCAAAATGGAGAGATGGAATGTAGGATCTAATTGGGAGACTGCAAAGCTTGCAAATTTCCCATATGCCATGCCTGTTGCTGCACCGATGAAGAGAGATGGAGCATAGTATCCTCCCACTAATCCAGAAGCACGGCATAAAGAAGTTGCTAAAATCTTGACACCAATTAACTGAAGCAATAAGTGTGCAGGTAAGCCTTTTACAAGTGGCCTTGATTCTAACAAAATGTCAACATTCTCAAAACCCCAATAAAGAATCTCGGGATATGCTAGAGCTATCAATCCAACAACTAATCCACCAAATACAGGAAATACAGCTTTTGGTGCTCCTGTGGCTTTCTGGACATTGTCAACGGCTGTCAGTGCATAGGATGTGCTTCTAGATAAGGCCAATGAAACCAGCCCGCATAGGATACCCAGCAAAAGATACAGTGGAAGTTCTGAATATGTATCAAATCACATTAACATGACCAGAGACCATTTCAAATGAAAACTAGAAGTCCTATGCACTTTTAAAAGCTTCTATTCTGCAGTTAAAATGACTTGCATGAATTTCCTTTATACGAGGGGTGCATTAAGGACCTAACCTTTCTAAAAACTATAAAAGTTTGATCAAGTAATAAAAAAGAACAAATAAAAAAATTACATTAATGCAACAATCTTTTAAGCTTATAAGGCTTGATCAAATAGAGTTTGAGTCAGCTTGAAGTTGGATCCCATCCAGGTTTAATCCCCTTCCCTTCAGAAGGCCTCCCACTCCCCTAAGAAAAAGCCTAATTTCAAATCACCTTTGGAGATGGTGGCAAATGTAAACATAGAATATAGTATGGGTTACATACCACTTGGTGAACGAAAATCATATTCTGGGACCCTGAAGGCTGGTTCAGAACCAAGACCAGCTTCTGACACTACAGAAGCTATCACTGCACTGAGTATTACCATTGAAGTTGTATTTGTGAGTGATAAGGAAGAAATTTCTGGAGATGGCCACAACACTGATTCCACAGCGAAAAAGCATCCAGCAACAGCAGCATTGAAACCTACGGGAGTAGAAGGTAGGAAGTTTTATTAATTTATTAAAGAAATATGAGATTGAGAAGCAGGCTATATTAATCTGTTTATTTATTGTGACTTTGATTCTTTATTGGACCTTTAATATTAGTGGGATTTTGGGACTTATTTTTTATTTGTTTATTGCTGCCATCTAGAGAGGGGAATATCTTTAGTTTCTTGTTTATTTACAGCAGTTACTTTATAAGATATTGGAGCTACACAGCAGTTCATGAGTTGGAGTTACCTTCAAACATTATCTTGTCTTCTCTTTCTCCTTTCTTCTCTATTTTCTGCTTGAGTATTCTATCATTTTATTCTTCAAATCATTCAAATATACTGTTTATTGTTGCTGGTTTCAAGACAAGTCAACACAAAAATTACATAACATCAAGATAACGAATAACAATATAGGTTTCATGATGTACTGCCTGAGTATGTTAGCATGCCCAGTCTGTATTGTGAGAGTTTCTCAACTTTCAAAACATCATAGAAATTCTTATAATTCAATCAATATGTGGAAACCTTACCATGTTCCTTGTATTGGTGATTTTCATTATTTCTTGCTTTTTGCTGATGCTTTTTCTTGCTTCTCTTGAGTTTACTTGGTGCATTTCAGGGAAGAAATTCCAACTTTGGTCCAATAGTCTCATTAGATGATTTTACTAAATTTGGAGTTTGAGTCAGGATCTTCAAATCTGATAATGCTGTGATATTTTGAGAAGAATCTAGTTTCTTATCTTCCTAAGTATGGAGTTATGATTTCTAGTAGAGTGCGCTGCAGGGGCACTATTGTAATTTTACTTTTTATTATGTTGTCATCTTATTATAAATAGATAACTGGGTACCCCAAGACCAGATTTTTGCCTCCTCTCTTCCTCTCCTCTTCTTTTTATTTATATTTTATTGAATAATATGGTATCAGAGCAAGTTTATAGGCAGTAGAAGCATTCAAATCGAGCTCTCCTCACCTAGAACTTGCCTTTTTGGACTGTGAAGAGAACACCTCATCAGTCCGGTCAGAAAAAAAGTTTCTTTTCCTTTTTTCTTTTTTTTTCTCGGTCAAAGCACCAAGAAAAATAATATTTGGTGACAGCCAGATGCTGTGAAAGGTGTTTGGGTGTGTGCTGTCTCCTTTGTGCTGTAAAGGGTCATGTGATTCCCTTTTTGGCTGGTATATGTATCTCTTCAGTGCTGCATAGGTTGTGTGGATTCGTGATGACTAGGGCTTGAGTTTTTTGGGCTTTCTAGCCCAGTGTAGTTGATGTTACAGCAGTCCTCTTCAGTTCAGCTAGGTTTTTGTACCCCCTCTTTTGATCATGGGTGTTAGAAGTGGGGTGTCATCAGTTTCTTGCTTCAGCCTGTTTCTTTGTGCACTCTAGTGATTGTTATAATGGTCACGAATGATTCAGCTTCTTCTGGAGCTATATCCTCCCAGGCAACAGGTAGTGTTGGGACTGTTAGTATGAATTTTCCTATGCAAATCACCCCCTTGATGGTTTGAATCATCTAGAGTGGTCTAAGAGCATAAAACTCTATATTACAGCAAGGGGTAAAGCTGGCTATATTAATGGGAAGGTGAAAGAGCCTAAGAGTTGGATTGCTGAACATGAGAGTTGGGACTAGGAAAACAGTATGGTTATGTCCAGGCTTCTTGTAGCTATGGAACCGGATGTGAGGAAAAACATTATGTGGGTGGATACTGCTAATGAAATATGGAAATAGGCAAAATCAACTTATTCTGAACAAAGACATTATGCTAAGATTACTCGGTTATGTTAACTGTCAATAGTTTTATAATCATATGCCACAAGAGAAAGAAGAAGAAGAAGGAGAGAAAAAGAGTGTTCGGCCAGACTAGAAGAGAGAATCTGTAAAATCACTCTCCTAGCCAACCCACTTGAATTTTATTCATAAAACTTAGAGTTACAAGAAAGACTATTTTGTTCCTCATAGAAGATGGGACACATAACTTAAACCAGATACAATAGACCTTTCACTTTCAAGAAGATAAACCAGAATGACCAAAATACCCCTGACTCGAGCATTCTAACACTCCCCCTCAAGCTGGAGAGTATATATCATATTGTCCCAGCTTGTTACAAATGTAATCTATTCTTCCCCGAGACAATCCCTTTGTGAAGAGATCTGCCCACTGATTTCCTGAGCTCACATGAGATGTAGTTATTACCCCACTTATCACTTTYTCTCTCACAAAGTGACAATCCACCTCAATATGTTTGGTTCTTTCATGGAAG